ATTGTGTAGTTCGAATTACTATTCACTAATCATTCCAAATCACACAATCTATTTTCACATCGAATTATACAGTAATCACCCCGCAAAATTGCCTTTATTTTCACCCTCTAGCATACTTGCTTTCACAACTATTTCTTAACGGTTAACTTCAAAAAGCCAATAAAATTGTAGGCTATTTTGTGCACTAATAAAATGTTTATTGACCCACTTAATGCTATTGTAGTTTTATTTTGATTTTAATAAACCTACCCAAAGTATATATTGGCAAAAACAATAAAAATAACAATGATTTTAGAAAATTTTTAATCAATAGCTTAACATTAAATAGCCCTTAAGCAGAGTACTATAAGAAAACAAAGAAGAACCAAAAATACAATAATAAAAACAATAAAAACGAAGAGGGATCAATAACTGACAAATTTCAATTAAATTAATGAGAGTCAAAAAAAATACCATTATTATATAGAAAAAAGTACGCATTACACTTTAGAGAACATTTAATGAACAATAAAAAACAAACATAAACCTACAGTTTTAAATTTCAAACAAACAATACACATATGGTGCATACTTTAGGCGTTCGTAATAGGAAAAGAAGAAAAAACTGTAAGAGGCTCTTACATAAACAACAAATCACTGCATACAGTGAATAGGAAAATAATGGGAACAATTGCTATTGTTGTTGTTGTTGCCTTAACCTCGATTGTTATAGAAAACAACAAACAATAATAATTTAGAGTAGAAATTATACAGCAAAAACAACAAGCTTACAATATACATATATATGGAGGTTTTGAAAAACTTCGTAACAATAAAACTCATTTCTATAGAAAAGTTTTAAAAGGCCATTCTGTTGTTTTTTTTTCTCCATTTTATGGTAAAATAAAAGCAGTAATCATTGGCAGTATTGTAAAATATATTTACTCTTATAGGAGCAGAGTATTGTATAAAATACATACTAGTGTTTTTGTTTTTTTACCATTTGCGTTTTTTTAAGATTTTTCCAGTTAAAAACTTAAAATGGATTTCAAAATAATCTGTACTTAATCCGTAATTTTTACAAAGCATATGCTTTTATTTCATTCTTTTGTAATTTTAACGGAAAAACAATACTCTCTGCGCCTAAAAGTATATAATGGATATATTCGTTTCATGGCATTTTAACAGCAAACCTTGCATGAATAAAACTCTTAAAACTCTTTTTTTAGTAATAGTAGTAGTAGTTTGATGCTTTTCAAATTGATTTTTCACAATCTTTCAATTGTTTCAATATCAAGGTAGAATGAAAAACTTTATTTTTCCACCCACCATTCGGCCGTAACGTATGCTATACATTAGTTTAGTTAAGCTAAAGAAAGCAGGAGCGTAATAGCCAGAATATGGCAGGAGTTATAGATACAATCAATAGAAACAGAAAATTTGTGAGGAAACTGCTAAGGAATTTAATATGCTTTAATTGGCCTCTAATTAAATCTGAAAAATTTTATCTGGGCTCCCGTAACTATGCTTCATTATTTTTTATTAGCTAAAAACATATTAACTTTTAATATATTTTAAGTTGTATTAGTATTATTGTTTATTTGTTTCATTTTCGTTAGTACCCCCTCTGCCCCCAAACAAGTCAAATGTTAGTGCAACATTGTTTTGAAAACCATTAAAATCGTGTTTAGCAACTTGCTTAGTTGTTGCTGTTCACTGCAGTGTTGCAGTTGTTCTTTCTTTATGCCACAAATGAGTACACAATGTTTTTCAAATACAATGTATTGTTGAATGGTGGGTTTTTTGCTAGAGATGCTGCTGCAACTGCTGGTGCTAATGACAGTGGATTGTTAGACACAGTGGTTTTGAGGGAAATTATAAGGAACTATAGAAATATTAAAAACTTGTAAAAAGTGCTATAGTCTAGTCTATAGTCTAGTCTATAGTCTAGTCTATAGTCTAGTCTATAGTCTAGTCTATAGTCTAGTCTATGGTCTAGTCTATAGTCTAGTCTATAGTCTAGTCTATAGTATAGTCTATAGTCTAGTCTATAGTCTAGTCTATAGTCTAGTCTATAGTCTAGTATATAGTCAAGTCTATAGTCTAGTCTATAGTCTAGTCTATAGTCTAGTCTATAGTCTATTCTATAGTCTAGTCTATAGTCTAGTCTATAGTCTAGTCTATAGTCTAGTCTATAGTCTAGTCTATAGTCTAGTCTATAGTCTAGTCTATAGTCTAGTCTATAGTCTAGTCTATAGTCTAGTCTATAGTCTAGTCTATAGTCTAGTCTATAGTCTAGTCTATAGTCTAGTCTATAGTCTAGTCTATAGTCTAGTCTATAGTCTAGTCTATAGTCTAGTCTATAGTCTAGTCTATAGTCTAGTCTATAGTCTAGTCTATAGTCTAGTCTATAGTCTAGTCTATAGTCTAGTCTATAGTCTAGTCTATAGTCTAGTCTATAGTCTAGTCTATAGTCTAGTCTATAGTCTAGTCTATAGTCTAGTCTATAGTCTAGTCTATAGTCTAGTCTATAGTCTAGTCTATAGTCTAGTCTATAGTCTAGTCTATAGTCTAGTCTATAGTCTAGTCTATAGTCTAGTCTATAGTCTAGTCTATAGTCTAGTCTATAGTCTAGTCTATAGTTTAGTCTATAGTCTAGTCTATAGTCTAGTCTATAGTCTAGTCTATAGTTTAGTCTATAGTTTAGTCTATAGTCTAGTCTATAGTCTAGTCTATAGTCTAGTCTATAGTCTAGTCTATAGTCTAGTCTATAGTCTAGTCTATAGTCTAGTCTATAGTCTAGTCTATAGTCTAGTCTATAGTCTAGTCTATAGTCTAGTCTATAGTCTAGTCTATAGTCTAGTCTATAGTCTAGTCTATAGTCTAGTCTATAGTCTAGTCTATAGTCTAGTCTATAGTCTAGTCTATAGTCTAGTCTATAGTCTAGTCTATAGTCTCGTCTATAGTCTAGTCTATAGTCTAGTCTATAGTCTAGTCTATAGTCTCGTCTATAGTCTAGTCTATAGTCTAGTCTATAGTCTCGTCTATAGTCTAGTCTATAGTCTAGTCTATAGTCTAGTCTATAGTCTAGTCTATAGTCTAGTCTATAGTCTAGTCTATAGTCTAGTCTATAGTCTAGTCTATAGTCTAGTCTATAGTCTAGTCTACTGTCTAGTCTATAGTCTAGTCTATAGTCTAGTCTATAGTCTAGTCTATAGTCTAGACAGTCTAGTCTATAGTCTATTCTATAGTCTAGTCTATAGTCTAGTCTATAGCCTATTCTATAGTCTAGTCTATAGTCTATTCTATAGTCTAGTCTATAGTCTATTCTATAGTCTAGTCTATAGTCTACTTCTATAGTCTAGTCTATAGTCTAGTCTATAGTCTAGTCTATAGTCTAGTCTATAGTCTAGTCTATAGTCTAGTCTATAGTCTAGTCTATAGTCTAGTCTATAGTCTAGTCTATAGTCTAGTCTATAGTCTAGTCTATAGTCTAGTCTATAGTCTAGTCTATAGTCTAGTCTATAGTCTAGTCTATAGTCTAGTCTATAGTCTAGTCTATAGTTAGTCATAGTCTAGTCTATAGTCTAGTCTATAGTCTAGTCTATAGTCTAGTCTATAGTCTAGTCTATAGTCTAGTCTATAGTCTAGTCTATAGTCTAGTCTATAGTCTAGTCTATAGTCTAGCTCTATAGTCTAGTCTATAGTCTATAGTCTAGTCTATAGTCCAGTCTATAGTCTAGTCTATAGTCTAGTCTATAGTCTAGTCTATAGTCTAGTCCTATAGTCTAGTCTATAGTCTAGTCTATAGTCTAGTCTATAGTCTAGTCTATCGGCTAGTCTATAGTCTAGTCTATAGTCTAGTCTATAGTCTAGTCTATAGTCTAGTCTATAGTCTAGTCTATAGTCTAGTCTATAGTCTATTTCTATAGTCTAGTCTATAGTCTATTCTATAGTCTAGGTCTATAGTCTATTCTATAGTCTAGTCTATTCTATAGTCTAGTCATATAGTCTAGTCTATAGTCTAGTCTATAGTCTAGTCTATAGTCTAGTCTATAGTCTAGTCTATAGTCTAGTCTATAGTCTAGTCTTAGTCTAGTCTATAGTCTAGTCTATAGTCTAGTCTATAGTCTAGTCTATAGTCTAGTCTATAGTCTAGTCTATAATCTAGTCTAGTCGTAATCTAGTCTATAATCTTGTCTAGTCTATAATCTAGTCTATAATCTAGTTTAGTCTATAGTCTAGTCTATAGTCTAGTCTATAGTCTAGTCTATAGTCTAGTCTATAGTCTAGTCTATAGGCTAGTCTATAGTCTAGTCTATAGTCTAGTCTATAATGTAGTCTATAGTCTAGCCTATAGTATAGTCTATAGTCTAGTCTATAGTCTAGTCTATAGTCTAGTCTAGTCTATAGTCTTGTCTAGTCTATAGTCTAGTCTATAGTCTAGTCTATAGTGTAGTCTATAGTCCATTTATAGTCTAGTCTATCGTCTAGTCTAAAGTGTAGTCTATAGTCTATTTTATAGTCTAGTATATAGTCTAGTCGGTAATCTAGTCTATAATGTAGCTAATCATCTGGTTTATGATCTAATATATTTATGGTCTGGTCTATAGTGTAACCTGAATTTGTACGAAGTTAAAACACTGTCCTTATCCGAAATCCTTTTTCCCATAAAATAGAAAATGTAGTTGTATAATTTTCCATATTGGTTAAAAGGTGTTCCGAAGGGGAAATGGCTGATTGTTGAGAATTAAAGGAAATGTTGCTCGGTTGGGTTGGTTGGCAATAAATGAATGGGTTGCTTTTATGGCCTTTAAATTTATGAGGCAATTAACACTAGCAAATGTTGCCAGTTGAAGCATGTGGTTGCTACATACTAAAACACACACATACAAACGAAGAAACTAATGGCTTAATAAAAATTTAGGTTAATAACAATAAAATCTACTACAACAAAACTCTTTATTATTATAATATTTAATACTAATAGTTATTTTCCTATTCTCATTTACTCATTACAGTTACACGATGATTAGAAAAAGATCACGATTTTTCTGGTTCCGGTTTTGGTCCCGATGACGAGGATTCCGATAGTGATTATCATCACAATACGCATAAACATCAAACGGGTAAATCAATATAAATAAGAATATTATGACAACGATTTCATAACCACAAGTAGAAATAATCAAAATCAAAACAATATTCATCAAACATCATCAAATAGCGGCATCAATAATAATAACAATAATCAAGGGAATACAGGCTTCATCAGTTCCGGTGGTAGTTCGGCAACAAGTGGTAACACTGGCCTTAATACAATCGGTAAAACATTTTTAATCATTACTCCTTCTCTTCTTTTATGTTGTAACTCTTTTACTACCTACTCTCTCTCTCTCTCTATCATTATCAATCGACAAGCTTACAAAAAATTTTGTTTGTTTGTTAAATTTACTCTTTTCTTATTTTGTAAAAGAATTTTATTATAATTTATTTGATTTTAATTAAATTTATTTTATTATCATTTTCATCATCTCAATCAAAATCAAAACAATCATTTAAAAAAATTCATTTTAGAAAACAAATAATCATAAAAAACAATTCAATTCCTCTATTTCATTTCCTTCCACACCCAATGATTCTACTACCAACACAACTTCCACTACTACTACTACTATTTCCCCTCACCAATATCACAACAATAATCATACAATCCAACACAACAACAAATACACACACCTTTTACACAACACCAACAAAACACTTCCCATATTGTTCCCTATTTCCCAGACAAAAACAACAACAACAACCAGCAAAATCATGGCAAAATTGTACCACCACCCCCCATTAACCATCACGATGATGATGATTTCAATATTGAGGAGGAAGAAGAAGAGGGTCGCATTTAGCTGGCAGCGGTGATGGTGGTCTCATTGATCGTGGCAACGACAATGATGACGATGATCATACTGGTGATGTCGATGAAGACACAGGTGATGAACTGCCAGATATCACAAAATATCAACATGGCATCTTTGATTCGGCCGCTCCGCCCAAAACGGATCAAGAACATTCCAAAACTCATGATAATGATGATGATGATGATTTCGAAGAGGAGGAAGATTTCGATCATAATCAACCAATTGATCATGATGATGATGATGACGATCATGTCGACAAAACACATTCCGAAGATGATGGCACTGAAATTTATACCGATAATACTGATGAATCTAGCACTGGATCGTCATCATCGTCTTCGTCTACTACCGAAAAACGACGTCAGTGTATTTCAGTTATATTTTTTTACTGTCTCTCTCTCTTTCTTTCTCTGTTTATCATTTATTTGCCTTTTTGTTTAAATGTATTATTTGCTTGATTGCTTCTTTTAATTTGTATTCTATATTTTGCTTTAGTTTTTGTTTTCTAATTGAAAATTGAATTTGAAATACTATAGATTATACTATAGACTAGACTATATACTAGACTACAGACTACAGACTAGACTATAGACTAGACTATAGACTAGACTATAAACTAGACTATAGACTATACTATAGACTAGACTATAGACTAGACTATAGACTAGACTATAGACTAGACTATAGACTAGACTATAGACTAGACTATAGGCTAGACTATAGGCTAGACTATAGACTAGACTATAGACTAGACTATAGACTAGACTATAGACTAGACTATAGACTAGACTAGACTATAGACTAGACTATAGACTAGACTATAGACTAGACTATAGACTAGACTATAGACTAGACTATAGACTAGACTATGGACTAGACTATAGACTAGACTATAGGCTAGACTATAGACTAGACTATAGACTAGACTATAGACTAGACTATAGACTAGACTATAGACTAGACTATAGACTAGACTATAGACTAGACTATAGGCTAGACTATAGGCTAGACTATAGACTAGACTATAGACTAGACTATAGACTAGACTATAGACTAGACTATAGACTAGACTAGACTATAGACTAGACTATAGACTAGACTATAGACTAGACTATAGACTAGACTATAGACTAGACTATAGACTAGACTATGGACTAGACTATAGACTAGACTATAGGCTAGACTATAGACTAGACTATAGACTAGACTATAGACTAGACTATAGACTAGACTATAGGCTAGACTATAGACTAGACTATAGACTAGACTGTAGACTAGACTACACTATAGACTAGACTATAGACTTGCCTATAGACTAGACTATAGACTAGACTATAGACTAGACTATAGACTAGACTAGACTATAGACTAGACTATAGACTAGACTATAGACTAGACTATAGACTAGACTATAGACTAGACTATAGACTAGACTATAGACTAGACTATAGACTAGACTATAGACTAGACTAGAGACTAGACTATAGACTAGACTATAGACTAGACTAGAGACTAGACTATAGACTAGACTATAGACTAGACTATAGACTAGACTATAGACTAGACTATAGACTAGACTATAGACTAGACTATAGACTAGACTATAGACTAGACTATAGACTAGACTATAGACTAGACTATAGACTAGACTATAGACTAGACTATAGACTAGACTATAGACTAGACTATAGACTAGACTATAGACTAGACTATAGACTAGACTACAGACTAGACTACAGACTAGACTATAGACTAGACTATAGACTAGACTATAGACTAGACTATAGACTAGACTATAGACTAGACTATAGACTAGACTATAGACTAGACTATAGAATAGACTATAGACTAGACTATAGACTAGACTATAGACTAGACTATAGACTAGACTATAGACTAGACTATAGACTAGACTATAGACTAGACTATAGACTAGACTATAGACTAGACTATAGACTAGACTATAGACTAGACTAGACTATAGACTAGACTATAGACTAGACTATAGACTAGACTAGACTATAGACTAGACTATAGACTAGACTATAGACTAGACTATAGACTAGACTATAGACTAGACTATAGACTAGACTAGACTATAGACTAGACTATAGACTAGACTATAGACTATACTATAGACTAGACTATAGACTAGACTATAGACTAGACTATAGGCTAGACTATAGACTAGACTATAGACTAGACTATAGACTAGACTATAGACTAGACTATAGACTAGACTATAGGCTAGACTATAGACTAGACTGTAGACTAGACTACACTATAGACTAGACTATAGACTTGCCTATAGACTAGACTATAGACTAGACTATAGACTAGACTATAGACTAGACTATAGACTAGACTATAGACTAGACTATAGACTAGACTATAGACTAGACTAGAGACTAGACTAGAGACTAGACTATAGACTAGACTATAGACTAGACTATAGACTAGACTATAGACTAGACTATAGACTAGACTATAGACTAGACTATAGACTAGACTATAGACTAGACTATAGACTAGACTATAGACTAGACTATAGACTAGACTATAGACTAGACTATAGACTAGACTATAGACTAGACTATAGACTAGACTATAGACTAGACTATAGACTAGACTATAGACTAGACTATAGACTAGACTATAGACTAGACTATAGACTAGACTATAGACTAGACTATAGACTAGACTATAGACTAGACTATAGACTAGACTATAGACTAGACTATAGACTAGACTATAGACTAGACTATAGACTAGACTATAGACTAGACTATAGACTAGACTATAGACTAGACTATAGACTAGACTATAGACTAGACTATAGACTAGACTATAGACTAGACTATAGACTAGACTATAGACTAGACTATAGACTAGACTATAGACTAGACTATAGACTAGACTATAGACTAGACTATAGACTAGACTATAGACTAGACTATAGACTAGACTATAGACTAGACTATAGACTTGACTATAGACTAGACTATAGACTAGACTATAGACTAGACTATAGACTAGACTATAGACTAGACTATAGACTAGACTATAGACTAGACTATAGACTAGACTATAGACTAGACTATAGACTAGACTATAGACTAGACTATAGACTAGACTATAGACTAGACTATAGACTAGACTATAGACTAGACTATAGACTAGACTATAGACTAGACTATAGACTAGACTATAGACTAGACTATAGACTAGACTATAGACTAGACTATAGACTTGACTATAGACTAGACTATAGACTTGACTATAGACTAGACTATAGACTAGACTATAGACTAGACTATAGACTAGACTATAGACTAGACTATAGACTAGACTATAGACTAGACTATAGACTAGACTATAAACTAAACTATAGACTAGACTATAGAATAGAATATAGACTAGACTATAGAATAGACTATAGAATAGACTATAGACTAGACTATAGACTAGACTATAGACTAGACTATAGACTATACCATAGACTATACTATAGACTAGACTATAGACTAGACTATAGACTAGACTATAGACTAGACTATAGACTAGACTATAGACTAGACTATAGACTAGACTATAGACTACACTATAGACTACACTATAGACTACACTATAGACTAGACTATAGACTAGACTAATCTAGAATATTCGATAAATTTATCCTTTTCATATTCAATTTTCATTTAAAACTATTCTCTTCCTCATTGTACCTTAGTAATTGGCATGATTTGTAGTTCATGATTTGATTTCTTAATTAAATAATTTATTGGCTTTTATTTTATTTATTTAAATGTATTTAAAGCTTTTGTTTATTTAAATTAGTAGTTTGTTTTAAACAAATTTTATATTATCAACACAATTTTGATTTTTTCTTCCCAACCACTTTTCTTATTGTTATTTTTTTTAATTTTATAAAATATTTTTTAAAACTACACTTTTCGGGACACCCTCGTATGGCTAAATTAACACTTACAACACATATGTAATTTGGAACCAAAAGAAACATCACTATTTTTAAGCGTTAAAATGAATGTAACTCGAAACCCCTTATACATTTATAAATGGGTCCTTTACTGTTTACACTTTTATTACCTTAAAAACATAATCTACACTGAAATATTTTATAGTAAACTTGAGATTTTCAAACAAGAAAAATTACATCAAAAACCCATCACTGTCTCTCTCTCACTCACTCTTAATCTACACTTTACTCTCTTACTCTTGCCACTCACTCATCATTTCATAATTGTCTATTCACCCATACATGCTCATAATGATGTTTTACAAAATGTTTTCATTATCATAAATTGTATCCTTCATTGAATCATTTGTTCGTTCGTTCATACATTCATTCATTCATTCACTCATTCATTTGTGCATTTTCTCCATTGTTTCATATGTTTTTCTCGACCACCATTTTTTTTTTCTAGTTATTGTTTATTGTTCCTTTTCATTTCAAACTTTTCACATCTGAATTCGTTGTTATTTCATTGTTATTGTTACAGTTATTTACATACGCCCCCCACCTCCTTCAATATGTTGTTTTATATTTTTTTTCTCCTCCTCTATTTTTATTTTCATTGTTTTTGTTTTTATTTAATAAACAAACAAGCAGTACATTCGTACATACGTGTGTTTTTAGTACAAGTACTAAATTATCATGAGCTTATTTGCTCAGAATACAAACGTACATTCATTCATATGTACAATACGTACGTATGTATGAATTTGTGTGTATGTGTATCATTTGCTGAGTGTGTGTGTGCTGTTTTACATACAAAAACAACAATGAAAACAAACTAAAACAGAGTTTTAGTTTTATTTTTTTTTTTTTTATTCTCTGTTCCATTGTTAGTTCCATTTCATGGTATTTGTTCTACTACTCCAAATTCTGTGTTATTTCTTTGTTTACCTTTTTTTGTTAATTTCGAGGTTAAGGGTTTTGTATTCATTTTATCCAAATTTTTGTAGTAATTTTTTTAATTTTCAAATGATTTAAATGATATTTACTAAATAATGGTGCGGGACTTTTTCTTACAGATTTTATGTGTGTATTTTTATGCAAATTAAATTGTACATAATGCAGTTGCATTAACTCCATACTATTTTTAATATTATAATATATACATATTTTATTTTGTTTTTAATTAAGGTGATGGTTTATGACTTTTGACTAAATAATCTTAGATTCTAATTAATTTTCTTAAGGTATGTTCACACCCATGAAATATCTTACACTGTGAATGTATTTTTATCAAGTTTAATGACGTATTATATCCGTTCTAAACCGGTACATCCTTTGGCAATAGAAATTGCTGTAAAACTATTTTCCAGAATATAATTTTTTATAAAATTGTTTGTTTGTGGGAAATATGCGATAACTTAATACAGTTTAAAACACTTTCGTAAAATTTCTCTTTAAATGACAAATGATCAGATAGATAGATAGATAGATAGATAGATAGATAGATAGATAGATAGATAGATAGATAGA